GAACAAATTTGTAGGGGGGTGCACAAATGCTCGGTGAGTAGTAAAGCACAAGAGACCAATTTCAAATGACTTACCCGATAGTATAGAACACCCGAGATTTTACATAAGATAGATCCCGCAATATCGGCAGAGTGCTGGCGGTGAAAATCAGAAAGTGGTTCTCGATTACTTACCTTTTGGTCATGTTCCGTTCTCCAAACTTTTTGGAGGGGGGTGCATGGACTGATAGGCAAGATTCTGGAAAGAGAAGTGGAATACTCCCCAGGGGTTTTCTTGCTCCATCTCCCAGAACAGGGAAGAGGGAACCCAGCTAAATCCCTGAAGAAACATATGATTAATGCGGCTAGATCACTCATACCAAGATATGAAGGGAGACTAGAGCTCCCACGATGCGGGAATGGATTCAACAGGTAGGACACATATGTGAGATGTGTAGAAGGAATAATAGATTGCTCTATTATGTTTAAAAATAACCTTCAAGAACTCAGAGATTGTTGTAGAAAAAATCTTCACTCTGCTTTATTTGCATGCGCATGGGAGATCAATACAGACGATGCATGGAGTTGAGCTTGTCCCTCCTCTCGTCAGAATGAGTCTCTAACTAAATCCTAAGGTGCATAAATCTTTTATAGTTGTTTATGATGATTCACTTCTGGCTGGGTGCCCTCTTCGCGTCATATATCCTGGTCAAGCAAGCTTTAAAGCGTTGATTTGTGCAAAGCATCTTAGGCCGTCCTACCTACGCAGTTTCTGCAGTGTAATCTTTTCTTTTGTTTCATCCAAGGTCCTCGAAAGAACACACTTCATTAAAAACATGTATATAGCGATTGCTGAATTGCTGAGGCTTAAAATCTCTTTAACCCCTTACAGATGCTTTTAGCATCTAAACAAGACCGTATGGAAAAATGTGCGAAAATCTGGGCTCCCTGGACGGTGTTTTACTGTAGCACTGAGTGCAACAACATCAGAGAGGTACAGGAAATGGGGAGCGAGAGGGGACACTTAACGAGTAGACAGATCAAGGGTGTCCACCAAGACCAGTAGGTGCAGAAGGGGGATCCCCAGTGGGGGAGCGGGGAGTAGCTTCCTCTCTCAATACCCGTTGCTGCTTTCTTTTCTTTTTGGCTCTGCTTTACTCTTCTCTTCTCTCCTTAGCCCTCTTTTCTCCCAGGGAGGGGAGCAAGATTGGGCATATCCATTTGGAGGTGCTCCAAATGGATATGCCCAATAATTCAATGATAAAGTGGCAAGCTCGGTGGGAGAAGGGATCAGTGAAGGCACCAAGACATTTGGTGACAACAAGCTTTTAGAGTGGATGATAATCACGAAGGATGTGTAGTATAGAGGACAGGAACCGCAAAATTGGTGACCCACGGGTAGTTTGGAAAGGTCATAATATACCATGGGACCCCATTGGGTATGTGTCGCCTTGTACTGTCAATACTTTGTACAGCCACCGGATCTGACCGAGAAGTAAGTATCCCATGTTGGGTGTATTTTATTTTATTGACTTTACCATCTGTACTTTGCTCGACTTTTTGTATTTTGTTTATCTTTTTGCAAAACAATAAAAATAAAAATTTTAAATGGAAAAAAAAGAAAAAACAGACTTGGCAGATTACAAGCAAATGTTTTGGACATACTCTCTAGGGCATTTAGAGCTTTGAGATCCAGAATGAGGCACATGCCTCCTTCGGGCTTGGGAACAGTGAACGGCTTGAAGTAAAACTTCTGTAATAGTTTTGCCACAAGAAAGACAATAATACCTCCATCCAGAAGACCCAAGAGGGCTAAGTGGAGAGCTGCTAATCTGTGCAGTGACACATGAAGGTTGGAGGTGAGAAACCGAGTAGGAGGCAGGGTGCGAAACTTCAGTTTTTTGCCCTGGAAGACCACCTTCTGCGACCAAGCATTTAAAATGCAAGCCATCCAGGTGTCCGCAAAGATTAACAAACACCACCCAAAAGTAGGGGTGCACCTTCAAGCCTTCAGGGAAAGGCTTGTCTAAGAATTTGACACACTGAGTGCCAGGTCTTGTGGGTGACTCTTCCGACCAGTAGCATCCTTGACGAGGTCATCAAGAGCTGATTCTGAGAGGCTGTTCCCTGAAGTCCCTGAATATCTAAACCTTTTTACAAAAGGGTTCCGCAATCTAGCACTTTTCCAAAAAATGCCCTACGCATATGACCCAGCAAATGACAAATGCGAGAAATGAGATAGGAGGCTTCTAGCAAACTGTCATCACAGCTGAATTTTAACACTACAGCCATCTGCTCCAGGCATTCTATCCGCAGCGGATTAACTGCGGCAGCAGCTAGCTCTCTTTTAAAGGGATTTTGACCAGTCATACATGGTTTGGAAAATAAGGTCACAGCCAGAAGTGGTGAAGGACTGGGTCCAGAGAACAAATCTCTAGAAAGGGCTTCCAAATGCTAATTGGTTGGGTCCCTAAAAAAGGCTTGTCCTCTACCTAAATGGTAAGTGCCCTGTTAAGGCAGGATACTGCTCATCCTACAGGAGGGGATAGACAACTTCTGCACAAAATTTTTACTACAGATACAACGCTAACAAACCTTTTTTTTTGGGGCACCCATTACAGCGGGACTGTCCACCCCTGTGTCTGCAATAAGGCATAAGCAACCATGTGGCGATAAGGCAACATATAGGCTCAGAGTAAGAAGCAAAGCCTCAGGTATTCACAAAACCCCCGCAGCTTGTAGCAGGTAAGAGTCAGATAGTTCCACACAGCTCTTTGCAAGCAGGAGCAGCTGCGTGGGTGATGTTTCTCCTGAGCAAAAAGCTGAGGCATACCAGTAGTGGGTGGATTATCCTGGGCTAGCCTACAGTTTATTTGCCAGTGTCCAATTCTCCTGTAGGCAGCACTATACCCGGAAGGTTAAAGAGTTTGTGTCCCTCAATGAACAATTAAAAATGATGTTTGCTTACAGTTTATTTAAAGCAAAGCTATAAAACAACATAGCCATCTTCGCTATGTTCCGAAACTAGGGCTGCAGCTAATTATTATTTTCATAATCGGTTAGCCTTTTATTAACTTCCATTAATCGGATAAAATGTAAAGAAAATTAATACCGTATATAATAAAATTAAATACACAAATGCAGCATTACAAAGTTTACTTCAGAAAACAACGGTATGCAAATATTTTGAAATCGCACTGCAACACAGGGCATTGCATTACCGCACGTTCACACTGTGGACGGGAGATGCATTTGGAATCTATTGAAATTAAAGGAGAACTATGAGATGAGTGATTTCCACTCATGTCATAGTTCTAAGCCGACCTGTGACAATGAGACTGTCACAGGTCGGCTCAGTAGATCGGGAGGTGAGGGAAAACATACCGTGTTCCCTCACCTCTCGATCCTGTCACGGCTCTCTGCCGTGACAGGGGGAGGGGCTGGATTCCCTTCTCCCCGCTCCGATCTGCCAGCGCTGACTGGCGGAACGGACGGGGGAGGGGGCGGGTACAGCTGGCTCTGCCTCTAGATAGGCAGAGCCAGCTGTCACTCACGCAGCTGGGCGGATCCCGTCATCTAAGTCGGGATCCGCTCCAGGTGCGGCGTCTCAGTATACCGCGAGCTGTAGCTCGCGGTATACTGAGCTTAGGGTGACGGGAGGACGCTAGTTTGTGTCCTCCCGTTACCCCAAGGAGAACTATGGGGAAAAACACTGACCCCATAGTTCTCCTTTAAAAGGCACCGCAATGCACCTCCTGTAGAAAAATTTCTCAGGCCGAAACTGAAAAAGACTTTAATTAGTTTCATGGATTTAAAATAATGTGAATTGTAAAACTCCAACCAATATAATAAAATAGACAACCTTTTATTTATAATAAGACATGACATTAAAGGATAAAATCCCCCCCCCCGTCAGTGCTAATGTAGGGACTTACCTTAAATGGTGCCTCTTGATCCGATCATCTTCTTTCCTGTAGTTTTTAGGAGTCCCACCAGCGCTGGTGCCGGTCTCTGGTCCAACGCTGACTCCTCTCTCTTCCTGTCCCACGTTGTCTGTGCGGGCGCACACTGCTGCCTTTACTTACCTTGCGTCTCTCCTCGTCTCCCGGCCGAAGATCTGAACTGCACATGCGCATGCCCCAAGATCCTTTGTGTCCGCCCGAGAATATTCAGATGTTCGGACGGGAGCGCGTGGCGAAGACACAGATACATTTAAACCTTTTTGGAAAGTTTTTTTTTTTCTAATGTTTTTGCATATATCTACTGCTTGCTAGCTAGCAGTAGATATATGCAAAAAACGCTGAGGGTTTAATAATCCTTTAGGTTTACTTAACTTTATTTTTTTTAAACTTTTTTTAACTTTATTGCTGGGAGCAATAGCCAATCTGCTTTTGGATATTTCAAATTGCAATAGCCAATAGCAGGCTGGCTATCACACCCGCCCGCTGCCTGCTTGAAGGAGAAAATTCTCCATCAGGTCCTCCTCTGCTGACTGACAGCAGGCAGTGGGCGGGTGCAATAGCCAGCCTGCTATTGCATTTTAAAATATCCAATAGCAGGCTGGGTATGGCTCCCAGCCTCTAGATGCAGAGGAGGAACAGGGCGGCAGCGGAGGCACAGGGGTCGGGGCAGAGGAGGAACGGGCTGGGGCAGTGGAGGCAGAGAAGGAACGGGGCAGCATCAGAAGTACAGGGGGGCAGCAGCGGAGGTATGGGGAAAGGGGGCAACGGGGTAATGTATTCACAGCGGCCTCTCCTCCCTGCTGGTGCCAGCTGCCGTGGTCTGTGTCCCCGCTGCCTCTGCCAATACAGGCGGGGAATGAAAGGGACACAGACCACTGCAGCCAGCAAGAGCGGGGAGGAGAACAGAGGAGAAGAGCGACGGCAACTAATTGAAAAGCAGCTAATCGATGATGAGAATCGCTGCCAATGATTCTCATTATCGATTTCATCGATTCGTTGTTGCAGCCCTATCTGGAACATAGGTATTAATAAAACTAAACAAAAAAAGAGAGACACATACCATGTGGAGTTCTGTCATCAGATCTTAATCGCTTCCCATTCCTAGGATTCAGAGGCTTATTGGTGGCTTCTGCTGACCTCATACCATCAGTCAGATTTTCATCATCCATGAAAGCTTTTGCACTTTCAGCAGCTTCAATTTCAAAATAGTTCTCAGGGGTGTGAGATGTAATTGAAGAAACACAATTCTTCTTGCCAAGTACTCCAGTATTGTGAAATGGAGTGGAATGTCTAAGCATTGGATGCTGTATATTAGAAAATCTTGCAATAGATGGTTTATCCACATTAGTATTCTCAATAGTCCTTGCCCTGTAGTTTTGCAAGTCACCAAGCTTCTCATTTAAGTGAGAAATAGTCTCAGGTTTGTCTACTAATGGAGAGAGCACGTTTGCCTTTTTATTAATGTTGCCATCACCTTTATCATTATACTGGCAATGATCCTGAAGGTGTTCAGATTCTTCAAATAGGTCTTTCACTTTTTGTATTGCAGTTTCTGAAACAGACACTAATTTTCCACTTGCTGTGCTAAATCCAAACGTTGTAGTTGTTGTATTAGATAATTTACTTGTTTCTGATGCTTCTAAAGTTGTCTGATCTGTTGGCTTTTTCTGTAATGATGTATGGACTTTAGATACACATAAAGGAAGGTCACTAAAAACGTCCCCAGGTTTGTCTTGTGGCAAGAGGCACTTATCTATTTCGGATAATTTTTCTTTAGCTTTCTTTAGAGCGTCTTCTGATACATTTACAGTTTTACCACTGGCAGTGCTAAAACTGTTACTCATTAGAACTTTGCAAATGTTTCCGGGCACATTACCAGAAATGGTACTGATACCAGAATTCTGTTTTAAGGGGGACCTAAAACTTTGAAATTCTGTGTCTGAGTGAAGCGTAACAGGTTTTGAAACCATTTCATTTACTTCATACTGTTCAGCATTGATTGCTCTTATTTTACTCTGACCTATATTTTCATTAGTATTGCCATCATCATCACCATCAGCGAACAAAATACTTGCTTTATGGAGGGCATCAGCAGACACTGCTACAGTCTTTCCACTTGCGGTGCTGAAGCCTGGAACTGGAAGAGTGAAAGTGGTTTCCTTTGCTGGTACAGTAGGCGATGCTTGGTCTTGGAGGTTGCTGTTCCCTGTGTTTTCCCACTTAGTATTTCTTTCTACACGCTGCTTGAACAAATGTGCGTCTAATTGCCCATCATCTATTTTAGCAAACATTTCTCGAGCTTTCTTCAAAGCTTCATCTGACATGTGAACAGGTTTACCCCCTGCAGTGCTAAAAGATGGCTTCATTATACTTGGGGCATTCTCCTGTGGCAAACTCACCACTCTAGGCCCTGCGAATCTAGACTTCTTTACTATAGATGGTATATCAGGTTTTTCTACACAAAAGCCAGTGGTGCTCTCTCTAAAAGATGGTTTCATTGGACTACCTTCTGCTAGATTTACCTTACCAGGTTTTTTGATTTCTAAGGAGCACAAAACATCACTAGATGTTTCCCGATTCCCTTTTCCAAGTCTAGTCTGACTGGATTGAAATTCATGTTTCATATCAATATTATCAGTATCGGCTAACATCAGCCTTGCTTTTTCCAGAGACTCATTAGAGACTGCTACGATCTTCCCACTTGCTGTGCTAAAACCTAGAGGGGGAAGCACATCAGTAGTCACTCGAGCGGTTTTCTTTATGGTAACATCACAATCTTTAATTTTCGGTTTCCTCAATTTAATTTCGGCTGGATTAAACTGAGCTCCATCGTGCATTTGTTTGGACTCCATTCCCTCTAGTCCATCATGCATTGCTATGTCAGCTTCTGCAAACATAGCTCTTGCTTTGTGCAGAGAATCACAAGAGACTACTACAGATTTTCCACTAGCTGTACTGAAACCCAGAGGAGGGAGGACAGGCTCTCTTTCTTGCAGAGTTTTACTTATAATGTCTTGTATGTTGTTGGTACTGAGTGTCCCTGTTGTGATCTTCTCTACTGCACACAGACTGTCCTTAGAATTCTCCCCAACAGTTCCCAGCTGTTGGTTATCTATATCGGCAAACATCTCCCGAGCTCTGTTCCAAGATTCTGCAGAAAGATGAACAGGTTTACTACATGCAGTGCTAAACTGGACCCTCTTTAGGACAGGGGTATCCTGTTTAGGCAAGGAAATACAGCGAGTCATCTCTGACCCAGAGATGTTCTCAGACATCTGCCTTCCTATCTGGACAGAATCATGAGGAACAGCAGCACCTTTTCCACTTGTGATGAAATCAGCTGCAGATTGTTCATCAGTTAGTATATGTGTTCCATTGCCATCTTCACCCTGACCGATTGTGCTTATGCTTTCTTTTACAGTCACGCTGGAAGTCCCACCTTGATTCTTATATATGCTTTCTGGATGTAATATATCATTAAAGATGGCTTTTGCCTTCACTAAAGCTGCCTTATCAACATTAATAACTTTGCCTTTTCCAGTAGAAAACCCAACTGGCATTGCAGAGACACATGAACCAGAAGGAAGACATCCTTGGGATACAGTTTGTGCACAAAATGCTTCTGCAGAACTGCCAATGTCATTACCACCGTACACAAACTCATTCATCACCTGGGTCTTGGAATTTTGTTTTGCTATATTAAACATAGGTACATTACAAGGTAATATGCCTTCCTCACATTGTGGATAGGATTCTGTTTTGGAGTGTACAATGCTGGATTTCTTAACATTATGTGGAACAGTTATACAGTCTTTTGGAATTTCCTGAACATTTAGTGTTGCAGGACCAGATGAAGAATTTATCAGCCTCTTGTTGACATCTGTTGAGGAGTTATTTAACGACAGCGTGGTATCATCCGAATCACTAAATAATTCAAAAGCCTTGATCATATCCTCATCAGTAATGTTTATGCATTTACCACTTGCTAAGCTAAATCCAGCACATTTCCTCTCTTTCGCTTTGGAAACCGATTTTTCAGATGCTGAAACCACATCAGTGTCACAAGCAGTTGATCTGACTGTGTTATCTTCCCTTTCCAATGACAATTTGACACTGGAATCCATATTTTCTATATGTTCTGCTCCGGCTGCAAAGCTATCATTGAAGTCAACGTCCTGCCAAACATCAGAATTATTAAGGTTCTCAGATTCGCTAATACCATCTTCTGCACTCTGCAAGTTTTGATTATTATTATTTGATGGCACAATACCTGTTTTCCTAAACTGTGAGAAGTCAAACTGACTGCCTGCATTCTCCAGAATTGAAGACAGTTCACTGACTTCTGCTTTTTGGCTTTCTGTCAGAATCCCACAGACTTGAGATTGTATTTCAGAAGATAAACTTTTTCTCATCTGGCTTTTTTGATTAGATGTGCTGTCCTTGCTATGTTGTGGTAATAAAATATATTGGTCACTCGTCCCTTTAGGTTTAACTTCTATGGAGGACTGTTTGTCTAATGTTAATATATCTGAAGTCTGTTTTTTATCCTTTGCCTCCTCTGATGACAGCTTGCTCAAGGGCTCAAAATTATTATCTGGTCGTCTTGCTTTCTCACTCGCTGGCACCAGGTTAGCTGTTGGTCTGAGTAACAAATCCTCTTTGGTGAGGTTTTCACATATGCCATCTTCAATATCTTTAAACAGGAGCATTCCCTTAGCAATTTTACTTTCAGCAACTACAATTTCCTTACGTGATGCTGTCCTAAATCCATTGAACAGAGACGTTGAATCAACAACGTCAAGGGGGTTGTTGATGTCAGCAGTTGGAGGTAAAGGGTGACTATTATGATATGAAGGATCATCGTCTTCAAACAGAAGTTCTCCCTTTCTCAGACTATCTTCCGAAATATTAATATTCTTGTTAGATGCAGTTTTAAAGCCTCCAAAGTTCTTAAACTTTGTGATACAAGGAGATACATTGTGTGGGAGACCGTCAGTGCAGGTGTTGTGGTTCTCTGTAGTTGTAGAAGCACTACCTTTGTGGATTTCCAGTTGTTCTTTATGGTCACTGGTGACAGCGGAAGAAAGGGCACATTCCTGAACCTGGTTTTTAGCTGATATAAAATCACTGTGTCCTACAGCATTATCATCAAGAGTGTTCTTTTTGGAGGTCCCATTAGATTCCAGCAAGGATATCTTTCCTGTCACATCTCCAGTTTTCATGTTAACCGTCATCTTTACATCCAGTTCCTTATTAATGGCTGTTGAAATGTAAGTAGTAGTTTCTAAACAGGGTACTTGCTCAGAAATAGGTCTGTCCACATGCTTCAAGTTCAAAAGATTTTCTTCAATTTCCAGGATATCCAGGGAGTCCTCTTTTAAATATTCTGAGGCTTCTTTAGCGGCTAGCTCTGCATCTTGGTGGCTATGTGTACATGCCGCATTCAGTGAATCCAGTGCCTCTGAAGGGACACAAACACAGTGATTAATTCATTTTTAGTAAGGAAACTGATCAAACATTATTTTAATGACTTTTACACATAAAAAACTAAAACTGTGCCCTGAATGTGGTTTAAGGAAAGGCCAGGACTCTGTTACATTCCTTTTGAGTATTTACCCAGCAGGTTGCACCATACAGCCAATGTTTCAGTGACACACTAACCTGCTACTAAAGCTCCTTCAACAAAAATTGATTGGAAAAATTGACTTTTGTCAAACAAAAGGGTGCCAATGGGGCCACACACTACTCTAATTTGGGCTGAGACAACAGGACTTGGCTGAAATGCAAGCAGTGTATGGCCAGCTTAAAGGAGAACTATGAGGTGAGTGCTTTTCACTCACCTCATAGTTCTAGCCGACCTGTGACAATGAGACTGTCACAGGTCGGCTCAGTAGATCGGGAGGTGAGCGAACACATACCGGGTTCGCTCACCTCTCGATCCTGTCACGGCTCTCTGCCGTGACAGGGGGAGGGGCTGGATTCCCCTCTCCGATCCTCCAGCGCTGACTGGCGGAACGGCCGGGGGAGGGTGCGCGTACAGCTGGCTCTGCCTCTAGATAGGCAGAGCCAGCTGTCACTCACGCAGCTGGGCGGATCTCATCATCGATGTCGGGATCCGCTCCGGCGTCTCAGTATACCGCGAGCTACACTGAGCTTGGGAGGTATACTGAGCTTGGGAGGACGCTAGTTTGTGTCCTCCCGTTACCCTAAGGAGAACTATGGGGAAAAACCCTGACCCTATAGTTCTCCTTTAAGTAAAATACTCAAAACTCATGCACCTGAGCCAAATGCATGGCTTCAGCACTGGTATGTGTGCAAGATGGTTGTCTATCACACTGAATGGAGTTTAAACTCAAGAGGTCATATACATAAATTCAAACAATTTTAGGGACTATTTCCACACAAATATCTACAATTAATTACTACTCTTTATGCACCTTCATGCTCTCATTGCCACGTCTTACAGGTCCAATGCCCAGCACTTGCTCCTCTTGTCCAAAAGCAGCCACTCACTTAGAATGACTCTTACGGTGGAGAAAATGCTTATAATAACATGATCTCAGGAAGTGGAGAACACTAATCAGCTTTAGAGATTTGCTACACAAAGCACTTTTGATTGTTCGGCTGCCCAAAGACCCCACACACACACACCTGACTGCAGGTTAGATACTTAACTGCAGCTAGTCTAAAGCTGGCCATGCACTATTAGATTTTGTTTATTCAGTCTGCGGGCTGAAGGAAATTCATGCTAAACAGCGTCCCACTGTGGCTATTGTAATAGGACAGCATGCACCCTCCGCTGTCAGAATACATGAACAGTGACTGCAGAAGTGTTTGACCAAAAATCCAGCCGGCCTACTTCAACAACTTACAATTCAGTAATCTACTTTTCTCACGCTGGCAACGCTACACACTGTAGGAATTTTGGCCCATGTTTGTGACTCAGCTGAAATTATAACAGTGTGTGGCCAGCTTAACCATGTAGCCCACGCAATGATATGCAATAACTGCTAACATCCAAATAAATCCAAAACCATGAACAGCTATCAAAAGTTTCCTCTGACCCATGGATCTAGACAAACTGACAGCATGAACTTACTAAATATGTAGCTAACTGCAAAAGGAGGACGATAAGCATGAACCTAAGGGCAATCAAGTCTTACATGTGTAGCAAGGGCCTTAGACCTCTCGCGTCTCCCTAATATTATTAATTTGTAACATCAGTAATCCTATACCTGCATTTGTTTTTAATGCTGTAAATATATGTAATATAGTGAAGTAGATCATGCTGCAACTTAGGTTGTCTGCCATCTTCAGTGAAAAGTAGTTTCACTTATTCTACAGTGTCATATACTATGTTAGCATATGGCAGAAGAAAGACTGGCATAATTGACTTTTTCTTGTCATTTATAAAATATTCTATTTCCACATTTTTAAGCCAACCACAATGACACATTTGGATTCCACATGAAGAAAAAAAAAAGAAATGAACATACTTTTATTTCCGCTAAATTGGGCATCTTTTTCAGGTGTTCTAAAAGGCTCACTGTGTGAATCTTTACTTATATCCATTGTTGTTCCATCTTGACCATTTTTCACACCATTTAAACAATACAGAAATTTTGATTGCCTTTTCAAAACAGAAAGTTTAGCTTTTATATTAGTATTCGTCTTCTGAGGTCTTCTCTCATTCATTTCGCCCAACACTTGTTGACCAGTTGAAGTAGTCCCCACTGTGTCTCTAGTGTTGTTCTGAGCACTGTGAGTGAGGTTCACATCAAGTCTTCTGTCCAGCAGTTTTTGTTGCACAGTATTGGGAATGCACATTTCTAGATTGTTGGCCACTTCACAGGGTCCATCTGGCACATGGAACAAACTGGGTTGTTCGTTGTTCCTGGTTGGTGAATAATTAGTTATTGAAGGTCCTAATTCTTTTACTTCCCCATAAATCACATGATCTGTTTCACCTTGCAAGTGCATATCTCCCTGTGTGGTATTTAGATCAGGCAGGGCTAATGGAGACCATTCATATGAAGAAGGCATAGTAGAGGGATCATAATTCATAGCATGTTTGTTTGTTGGTTCAGATTTGTTACATTTATTCTGGCTCCCATCATCAGGAAATATTTTCTGGTCATCAGTAGATTCTTGAACCACATTACTATCAAGTTTTCTTCTTCTTTTTGCTCGACTATCAACCTTTACTTTCCTCAGTCCTTGTGGTTTTCCACTATTAAAAAATATAGACAAGACGTCTTCCATTCCCTCAAGAACATTATCAGTCGTTCGGCAAGCATCTTCATTCTTCATAATGTTCTTCGGCACCTTCAAAGACTCAGAAGACTCAAATGTACCTGTGGCTTCTTCATTACACACAGCATATGTTGAATCAGCTGTAATAGAAATCAACAAAAGTACACAATGTTCTTAAAAATTGGAGTTACGTACCTGGTAACTGTGTTTCTAGGAACCTTCCAGGACAGCATTAGAGAGATAGGCTCCTCCCACCGGAAACAGATCACCCACACCTAGAATAAAAAGAGTCCCAGCCTAGCACACTTCCGTTAAAACATAAGAACCGAAGGATACCACATCACTACCCCCTTAAAGATGTACATCTACAGAATTATACATATGTATACCGATATATGTCAACTCCGAAAGTACGGTAACACACAGCAAGCCACACCAATAAGCGGGTGGGAATCCCTGCTGTCCTGGAAGGTTCCTAGAAACAGAGTTACCAGGTACGTAACTCCAATTTTCTCTAGTCACCTTCCAGGACAGCATTAGAGAGGATAAACGAGCACCATACTCACAATTTAGGGCGGGACCACGGCTTGCAGAACTTTCCTTCCGAAAGCCTGATCTTGGCTTGACGTCAGATCCACTCTATAGTGTTTGACGAATGTAGAAAAACTGGACCAGGTTGCTGCTCTGCAAATTTGATCTGGGGTAGCCCCAGCTCTTTCAGCCCAGGAAGCGGCCAAGGCCCTCGTGGAATGTGCCGTCACCTGCTGTGGCGTTTCCAGGTTTTGTAGAGCATATGCCTGGTGTATAGCCATTTTAATCCACCTCCCTATGGAGCTCTTGGATGCCCTTAGCCCCGACTTAGGGCCAGAAAACAGCACAAACAAATTATTGGACTTCCGAGTCTCTTTAGTCTTGTCCAGGTATTCCAGGACGCAGCGACGCACGTCGATGCCCTGCAGCGCAGCCTCCTTTTCATTTGTTGGATTAGCACAAAATGAAGGAATCACTACTTCTTGAGTCCTGTGAAATATCGAGACCACTTTAACAGCTTCTCTACTTTCTCGTCCGGAAGTAACATGCGCTCTGCCCCCGTGTGCACCCGGTAACCCAAAAATACCACCTTTTGTGACGGCAGCAATTGAGATTTCTCCGTGTTTATGAGCCAACCTAGGTTTTTCAGGTGGGGCATGGCCCCCCCCGAGGTGCATCCGGAGCGGCTCCTGGTCGCTGGCAAAAAATAGGTCGTCAAGATACGGAATGACCCCTATTCCGTGCAGCCTGAGGGGAGCCAATGCCTCCGCCAGGACCTTTGTAAACACCCTTGGTGCCGATGACAGGCCAAACGGCAGTGCCTTGTATTGAAAGTGCAACGTCTGTCCGGGCCCCTGTATTGCAAATCTTAGCAACCTCTGAGCTTCCTCCGCCATCGGTATATGCAGGTACGCATCCCTTAAGTCTACCGTGGCCAGAAACATAGCCGGGAGTAATAATTCTCTGATCGTGTAAATTGACTCCATCCTGAACCTTTTGTAGCGCACGACTTTGTTCAGGGGCTTCAGGTTCAGTATAACCCTGAATCCCCCTGACGGTTTTTTCCTTAGGAATACGTGCGAGTAAAACCCCGTCTTTTCCTTCATTACTGGCACCGAACAAATTACTTCTTGATGGAGAAGTTTTTGTATTGCTGACGTCATATCCGCAGATTTGGCAGGATCTCGAGATAGGCAGGTCACCAAAAATCTGGAGGGAGGGATTTGCAGTAGCTCTATTCTGCAACCTCTGCGTATCAGATTCAGAACATACACGCTGTCTGTAATCTGAAGCCACTGCGGGAGGAAATCCCTCAATCTTCCTCCCACGATGGCTGCCCCGTCATTGTGACTTGGGGAGCTGAGGAGGGGTAAAAAGAAAATTACTTTTCCCTTTCACCTTCTTGTTGTCCCAATTCCGATTTTTGGATTGCCCCCCCCTCTCTTTATGTGGCAGACCTCTTTTACTCGGCTGGTAACGCTGACTTTTAAAGCCTTTTTTCCCCTGTTGTTTTTTGGGGAGGGGAAATCCTTTTTTCCGATCGGCTGATCGGTCAAGCACTGTTTCCAGTTCCTGACCGAACAGGAGGTTACCGCCAAACGGAATTCCACAGAGCTTCGTCTTTGATGCCACATCTCCTGGCCACGTCTTCAACCACAGGGCTCTCCTGCTTGAGTTGATAAGGGCCGTGGTACGGGCAGAGATCCTCACCGCTTCCATAGAAGCATCCGCTATGTAGGCTACCGCCTTTTCTAGCACTGGCAGAGAATCCACAATTGTGGCCCTGTCTGTCCCCTCATTCAGATGATCTTTTAATTGTGCCAGCCAGACATCTAATGTTCTGGCCATACAAGTAACAGCCACCGCTGGCTTGAACCCGGCCCCCGCGGCTTCCCACGCCCGTCTGAGCAGTGCTTCGCCCTTTTTATCCATAGGATCTTTAAGCAGGCCCATATCTTCAAAGGACAGGTCTGTGTTCTTTGAAAATTTTGCCAGGGAAGCGTCCACCTTGGGACATTTTTCCCACACCTCCGAGTCTTCCCCTTTGAAGGGAAATCTTCTTTTTAGCTTGGAGGAAAAAAACACCTTCCGCTCTGGATCTTTCCACTCCGTGGTCACCACGTGCTTAATAGACTGGTGAACTGGGAACGTGCGGCCTTTTTTGGGCTGTAGCCCTTTATATAATCTGTCATGTATAGACAGTTCCCCTTGCTCTTCGGAGATACCCAACGTATCCCATACTGATTTGAGGAGCTCGTTGGTCTCATGCGCGGGGAACAAATATCTCCCCTGAGATGGTCCCGTGTCTTCTCCTGATTCCAACCCTGCATCCTCCTCGGAGTCAGCGGAAGAATCTGACACCGTAGCAGCCCTCTCAGAAACGCTGCTTGCCCGTGAGGCCGCCTCTCCGGCACTGTGCGGAATGACGGAAAGGAGGACATCATTTCTTGCCGCATGGAATCCAACAGATTTTTGAACATGCTGGAGGATTCATCCTTAACCAGTTCCCCAATGCAAGATTGGCATAGGGGTTTTTTGGATGTGTAGGAATACTTCTTATTGCATTGCGCACATCTCTTATTGCTTGATCGATTTGCTGCCGTTGCCCTCTGCAAGACAAAAACCGACCAAGCCATGTTAAAACCAACAGCCATCTGGCAATACTGTGTACACCCCATTTCTCATGCCCCCAACACGAGAAATAACCGGTAAAAGGAATGGGGAACTCCCCCTCTCTTACCTTAGAGCTGCCGGCACCAGGATCCCCCAGATCAATTGATGCGATCCTGGTATTAGAGTCTCCAGCTGAGCCCCTCCGACTCCAGCTCTTGTGCCCCACCATCGGTGCCCCCCCTTGCGTATGTGGGCACTGCAAGGGCCTTGCGACCCCCTGCTTCCACTGTGTTGGCCATCTGTAGCAGGGCCGAGCATTAACTGAGGCTTGGAGACGCCGGGTCATATGACCCTCGCACCCGGAAGTGACGTCAGACGCCCGCGCGGCGAGCGTCACTTCCGCCCTTACAGCTCGTCTCCTCCCTCCCCCTGTCTCCACGAGGGCCGCCGCACTGCACGTCTTCAACGGCCGACCGACTCCACACAGAGACCAGGGGATGCCGCTGTGGCCACCACCGAATGATGACCTTGTCCTCCATCCAGCAGGATCTGGTAGGAGCGCCGCACACAGCACTTGAGGCAGGGGATTAAGGACTAGGGGAACTCCTCTGAGTCCACTACACCAACAGGCTGGTTGTCCTGCATACTCTTACGCCGGGAAACCATAGGCAATTTCTTTTGGACAGTTGGGGCTGTCCCGGAAGCCCCCCTCCGTAGGTACCCCAGGTCCACTGACCCTCTGCTGTACCATGTTGGGGGGAAGCCCCTGCTCACTAGCACGTAGGCCTAGGAAAAAAATAACAAATGTTACGATGTCCTGCTCGGCCGGAGGAAACACAAAATAACTGAAGTGTGCTAGGCTGGGACTCTTTTTATTCTAGGTGTGGGTGATGTGTTTCCTGTTTCCGGTGGGAGGAGCCTATCTCTCTAATGCTGCCCTGGAAGGTGACTAGAGAAAAATGAAATCACACAAAGAGGTCTGTCAAGGTAGTTAGAAGCACAGGTGATCTTAAGCCCACAAGGTTAGAAGACATGTTTTCAGTAGAGGAAATAATATATTCAAGACATTTTCTGCTGGGTTTTTCTGGCACTCTTACTTGATCATATTATGTGGATTCTCGTTCTATACAGTTACACCAATATTAAACAATTTGCCATTATCATAGGTCTATTCTCTACAACTTACCCACGTGGTCATCAGCCTTTGTATGCAAGTCCTTGCCAATCATAGGATCAGTTGGTGCAGCAATGGAAGATGTCTCTGCATTGTTGCAAAGCTTGGAGAAGAGGCTCCGCACAATCTGCCAGGTAAAGAAATTAAAAGAATGAAATGGATCTTTATCACAGTTTGGATAATACTTTAGCCATTATTTTCATTTTTACTAAAACTTTAGCAGGCAGAATCTGGAGCAGCTATGCAGAGAAACCAGCTTCTCTCTTCAGTTTAGCTTTGAAAATAAAAGAAAGAAGCTGATAGATTTCATGCACATCTGCTCCAGATTTTGCCTGCTCCAGTCTTAGTAAATTTGCTTTACTTATAGGCAGTGATGACAGCATGTGAGGCCTCAATGGGAAAATATTCTCCTTTTCAGAAGTCTACAAATCAATAGCTTGTGAGCCAAAAGTTCCTCTCAAAAAGTTTGATGCCGCTTTTGGTAGTATCTTTACGGGGTCTTACAATGTAATGTGCTTTATCTCTCTTTTTGAAAGCTTGCTGCGATATGCCTTATCCTCTCAAAATCATATGATCAAGCAATGTTTGCAATATTTACCTGATGATTGCCCAAATGTCTGACGGAAAGGTTTTCCTGGATGTTGCTTTTTTTTTACACTTATGGGCATATTTATAAAGCAGTGAATCTGACATTCGCTGCAGGTGAATCTCCCAGGTGCATGCGTTTAAAATTACAATAATTGATTCACCACCAGTGGATGTTTGGTGCAATGCTTTCTAAATAGACCCCTTGATGTGGCTAAAGGTGCCCATACACTGTACGATTCTCGTACGAGAATCGCGGGAAACCGCGATCGTACGAGAATCGTACAGTGTATGGAAGGCGTGCAACCGTTTCTACTGTACGGTCGCACGTCTTCCGTCGAACAAGCAGGCTTGAAAACCGCCGAGAATCGTACGATTCTCGGCGGGTTAGTGGCCTGCTTGTTCGACAACTGCCGAACGGGCCGGTGTGCGCACGCGCACACTGCCCGTTTGCAGTGATCGGATGCCCGCCCCTCACTGCGGTCATCGGAAGCCCGACCCTCAGGGGGGCGGGCTTTCGATGATCGCAAGTACGATCTGCCCGTCCAAGATGGGCAGATCGTACGAGCTTTCAATGAGCTTACAACCATCGCAAGACAAAAGTCTTGCGATGGTCGTAAGGTGCATGGGCACCTTTGCTGTCATTCTTTATACAGCAAGACAAGTGGTTAACAAACTGAAACAAGCTGCGCACCTAGTAAATTAAAAAAAAAAAAAAAACAAGACTTTACAGACTGCAGAGCAGTGAAGTCACTTACCACAGCATCCTTATTATCAAAGGGCTTCATTCTAGAAGTCTCATCATTAGCTTGAGCTTACAAAAAAAAAAAAAGGGAGGGGAAAAAAATATACACAGTGAAAGCTCTCAAAGTAACCAATCATATAGTAGAAATGTAGATGGCAATGATATTAGTCCACATTCCTTTCTCAATATCAGTGTTATTGGTATCTTATTTGAGAAGAAGCATCTAGAAGTATCTATATCTCTATCATAACTATTACTATTTAAGTCAGGGCAAAGCACAGGAAAAGCCAAAGCCACAATAACAGAGAAATATTCCTAAAACTTCCATAAACACGACGTGGGCTTGACTTACCAATTATCACTGTTGGAGAGGGTGGTGTTGCTAAAGAGCTTGACCAGGACATCTCAGGGTCTGCCTCTGCACCAAGACTTTCTGATATACACCTTGGAGTTGTGTTCTAAAAGAGTCAATTGAATAAACACATTTTCAATATTCAAACCTCAGCAGCTTCTGAAAATATAAAAACCAAGAAGCATGACTAAACAGACTGCAACAAAAAATGCTAAATCAGTCCCGTGTCAAGTCAGATGCAGTGGACCTGATGGCTTGCATGTATTGGGGTGGCTGGTCATTCCTCAATGATTGGAAAGCCAGAAGATTCACCAGGTTATCATATTGTGTCAACCTGTATGCTACAATTGCTGCATAGCAGAAAGTATTTACTACCTTTTAGTGGGTATTACTGAAATGTCTGGTTTTCTCAATTAAGAGCTTCACTTTCCTTCTCCCGGCTGTCCAAAAAAGTAGTGGCATCAGGTCTCAAGCTGGGAGGCGTGGTGTCCATGTTCCTGAATCTTCTTAGAAATCTGGTTGGTCATACATCCTGAAGGTTGTTTTAACAGCCTGGAACGTATCTACATACAATTTATGTTCCTGTGAATGAGGGGAAGGATGTTCTGCCAACTGTGAATGGAGAATTCTGTCTCTGCTGAAGATAGACATCAAGTAGAGTCTGAAGGTGCCATTTTGGATGTTACATGGGAAAAGGCCTCCTTGGTTTAGGGCTGGCATTACTCTTAGCTTTGGCCCCGTAAGCACCATTGTCTTCCACAGGTGCAAGCGTATACATTTGCCTGTCACTAGATGTATTTATAAATGCCCGCCATCTAGGTTAGCATGTGCATGCCAACCTTCCCCTCCCCTGTTATGACAGCTATACACATATCTTCTTAATGGATTATTGTTGCGGCTAAAACAAATTCTTAAAATGTTTTCAAGTCGTAAAGATTTCAAATTAATATTTAAGTGGATGAGCCATCAGAGTTCAATTCGAAGTTTCAATCACAAAAATTGTGCCTCAAAGCTGTAATTTCCCTAGGTAATCTACAATGCTCTAGGAAACTCTTGCCGTGTATTACATAGCAAAACAAAAAATATGTAACAGTTTGTAAATGCTTAAAAAAAACCCCCCACTATAGTTTCTTTTTACATAAAAATGTTAAGTCCAGGACATTCGTATTTAAAAATTGGTGCTGCGGCATCTCATTGCAATGAAATCAATGATGGCAGTAAAATGGCCACCCCTTCCCCATTCACAGTACAAAATAATTAAAAAAAAAAAAAAACTCACCCTGATCAACTTTGGCGTGCAACACAGACTATCAAACACATCTGAAAGGCATAAAATTGATTAATAAGAGCTTGTACATCAAGACCATTATAATCTAAAGAATAGAGAGAACTACTCACCATTTTTCCCATCTCTCTGGGGTGTTCTGTGTGTGTACTTCTTATCCCAAAGAGGAGTCTTAAATATCTCCCTCATGACACTAGGACTGAAAACATCAGGGTCACATACAGGTGAAACTCGATTAGAATATCGTGCAAAGTTAATTTATTTCACTAATGCAACTTAAAAGGTGAAACTAATATATGAGAGAGACTCATTACATGCAAAGCAAGATAATTCAAGCCGTGATTTGTCATAATTGTGATGATTATGGCGTACAGCTCATGAAAACCCCAAATCCACAACCTCAAAAAAGTAGATTATTACATGCAATCAATAAAACAAGGATTGTACATAGAACAATATCGGACCTCTGAAAAGTACAAGCATGCATATGTACTCAGTACTAGGTTTGGGCCCCTTTTGCAGCACTTACTGCAATTACTTTTGCACGATATTCTAATTATTCGAGTTTCACCTGTACATTAAACAAAATTGCTGGACTACAAAGGACTGACTAACAGTATCAGTTTGGTTTTTGTACTGGTCTTTATGCGTATAGTTCCATATTGTGCACTAGTAAATGACAGTACGGCTACAACACAAATGTATCCAAACAGAGCCTAGAAACAGTACTGACCTATTCAAATGGTCAGAAAGCATTACCTATGATTATGACACTGTCTTGAGGTACCAAAGACTTCATTATGAGGAAGCTGTGTTGAATCTCCAGGACTTCCTTCTGGTCTATTGACCCTTCTGACATTTTCTATTTACAAAAAAATAAAAATAATAATATTTATATGTATACACATTATAGATGATAAATGAAAGGTGGCACTAAAACAAGTCAACAAGCATGTGATACATAAAGTTCTAGTAAGGGCCTTGTTAGGTTATAGAGACTGAACATCATTTTATACTTGTCTGAAGAGGTGGCGTTCATTAAGGAGTCAGTGAGTGGCAAAGTGAAGAAGAGTTAATCACCGGCACACGCAGAATATTTTTCACTTGAATCTTCTTTACATTCATTAAATCATCACAAATACCAACGTTTTGGGGCCACATAGGGACCTTTCATCAGGGCAACACTATCGATACTGTGTCCACCTGATAAAGGGACCCTGTGTGGCCCCAAAACATTGGTATTTGTGATGTTATGTGACGATTTAATAAATGTAAAGAAGATTCAAGTGAAAATATTCCGTGTGTGCTGGTGATGAACCCTTCTTCAATTTGAAGTCCTGCACGGTGCCATCCGTGAAATCACTATAAGCACCACCCTTAACAGAAAGTCGTGCGGATGGTTTGAAACACAAGGTAGGCAAAAGCAATTCAGAGGGGAGGCAACTGAGAAATATGCAAGAAGTTTGTGGGGCAATTGTCATTGTTAACTGCTCGCTCTTCTGACCTGCACTTTCACCTTGAAAGGCCCCCCTCAAAAACATTGACACGCTTGAAATAATGGAAGAGAAGCTCCAGCCTTACTTACGAAGCCCTGCCTATAGTATATCAGTTGTTGCAGAACACTGCACCACCAACGTCCCACATCCTGCCTATGAAATGTGTATACATCTATCCCGGAGTGAAGAGGTGATTACGTTGCAGCACAGAAGATGCAGAGGTACAGTTTGGATTACCTACAGTAGTGAGCAGATCATAGTGGAGATAGGGTCGGCAAAACATTGCAGGTTACTCCAGGGACTCATGCAGAATGTTAAAGAACAGAGAGAAAAGAAAGTACTTCAGCTTAATTTTAAGAATACTTAGATTATGACAACAGGAAACACTACTAACTTCAAAGTAGAGCTGCAGCTAACGATTATTTTCAATATCGATTAGTTAGCCGATTATTAAGTTCAATTACTCGATAACAAATAAAATACATTTTTAAAAATGGCTCCAGTGATGGACTACTAGTTTGTATTGAGATTGCAGTCCATCACAGGAGCAAGCTTGGAGCGGTGGAAGTAAAAAAAATAGTGAAATGAAAAGTGTAAAATTATACAGCAATGAATGCAGAATGGCACCGGCTGTAGAGGAATACAACAAATCCCAGCAATACATTATACATACAATGTATAATGTTTTGCTGGGATTTGTAGTCCTCTATAGCTGATGGTATTATATACAGCACAATCTACCTTCAGCTATAGAGGAATACAAATCCCACTATCCCAGCAATACATTATAGAGCACCATGTGGGGGGGTGCAGGCTTACCTGAGCAGTCTTCCAGCAACTTGCTTCTGAGATCGGCCTGTCTATCGGCGGCTGTCATCCCCCCACACCTGCTCCTCCTTACTTCTTCTTCTCCCCGCGTCCCTGTGCCGATCGTGGATGTGGGCGAGCGGTGAGCATGAGGCGGTGTGTTGTGTGGATGTGGGTGGGCCGGTCTGGCAGTGGCAAGCGTGAGGTGGGGAGGAGGTGCGGCGCGCAGCTTGTGTGGAGCCATGAACAGGGCCAACTAATCAGGGGCCGATTAATCGATGATTGAAAAAGTTGACAACTTTTACAATAATCGATTATGTCGATTAGTTGTTGCAGCCCTACTTAAAAGTAGACGGTGTAGATGCAGAAATAGTTGACAGCAGCGTTTCTCAACCAGTGTGCCGCAGGGAGATATTATTACAACAATTTCTAAAAAAGGTATTAGCCTGCCCTTTTCCACTTCTCCCCTTCCCACTAAGGGAGCTAGCAACAGACTGCTGCTTAGCAACAGATGACGTCAGCCATCACTATAAATGCTGTCGGCGGCAGGGAAGCAGTGCCAGAAGTCACCCTGTCTTCTGAGAATGAGGAAGCAGGAAAGGACGGGATGGGAGAGGATGTTCGCCGGTGAGGAGAGGGATAAGCCATGGGGAATCCCCCCTCTTAGGGTTTAATCGGTTCTATGCGATTAACACATGCTACTGTGTGTTAAAGTGCGGCAGATGCATTCCCTTGGTATTTATTTAAATGGCACAGCAAATGCACCTCCCGCTCACAATGCGCTTCACCGCACTACAATGCATGGTACAGCAATACCATGTAGTGTGGTTGAAAAAAGTAGTGCATACATGCGATGTGCTTGCGGTGCCATTACTTGTTAATGGCACCCCAAATGCACGCAGTAAATGGCATGTTTTTGTCTGTGCACTGATGCATGTCAAATGCGCACAAAGCTGCGTCCGCACTCCGTGCTGTCTGGTTAATGAGTTTCAGGGGCACGCCCCTTCCTCAGAACTCGGGAAGAGGGTGTGCCCCTGAAATGCGTTAACCAGACAGCACAGAGTGCGGACTTGAAGCCGGAGGCGAACCGGCAGACGGGACGGATGGTGCTATGTGAAACGGGCTTGCGTGCCCCTACCGAGAGGAGTTTCATATACGCTTGAATACTTATATCTTGTAAGTAAATTATTTTAAACCTTTTAAGAATAAAACGCGAATACACTTAGATTGGGCGCCCTTGTGTTTGTTTGTTTTGAACAATTACAGGTCAATTACAGGTACATTTGAAGTGCACATGACCTCTAAACTGTATCAACCTGTTTCAAGCTGCTGACAAGAAAAAAAACCAACAATCAGATGCCTCTTACCTGCTACAGGCTGATTTTTAGGTAGATCTCTTGCTGGTGAAAGGAAAAGGGGTGAACACAGGCTTTGTTCTTTAAATATGATTGGTGTGGAGTCAAGTTGGCTGTAGTTGGGCTGTTTATGTTTGGGGGTCTTAAAAAGGCAGTCATCCAGATCTTCCGCTCTCTTCTCTTCATCCACACACAACTTGGGCTGCCTCTGCACAGCTTCTGCAGTGAGCTCCTCAAACCAGTTCACGCTAATAGGCCCTAGATCTGTAAGAAAGATTGCAATATTGTAAAAGACAAAATCTCAACAACATGGCAGCACAAAAGAAAAAACTTATTTTTGTACTCAGCGTAAAATCATTTGTATGGAGACCATTGAGGGACACAGGAAGTATTGTACTGTCCAGTTATACTGCCACCTACAGAAGGACTGGAGACTGGCAAACAAAAGATTGTAGACCAGCCGTGGATGACCCCTCCTACTCCCAGAATAACTCTGGCAAAGCAGGACCAGGAGAATGATCACTAATGTAGAGCGGTGGGACCTGTATCCATCAATGGACTCCACGAAAAGGATTTTAGTGAGTACAATAATTCTATTTTCTTTCTTGTCCTGTGAGGAACACAGGAAGACTTGTACTGTTGGAACATCCAAAAGCAGTCCACCTAAGGAGTTGGCAACAGCAAACAAAACGATAACAAGCCACAAAAAAAACCCTAAAAGACAAAAACAGGGACTGCCTGCAGCTCAAAGAGTCACCTAAAGGACCTTATGTCCAAACCTGGCATCAGATGAGGCCTGAACATCCACTTGGTAAATCTTGGAGAGTATGTGAACAGAAGACCTGGTGGCAGCCTTGCAATTTTGAGAAACAGTAGCCTGATGCCAAAGAGCCCTAAGGTACCCACAGATCTAGTAAAGTGTGCCAAGTCAGGAAAAGGTGGCACCCGAGTCTTAAGGTCATAAGGTTGGATGATGGTCTGTCTGAGCCAATGAGAAATGGTGGATAAAGAAGCTGATTTGCCCCTATGGATAATGTCGGGATTGACCAACAGTCACTCTTTCTAAAGGGAGCAGTGGCTGCAAAATAAACTCTTACATCCCAAACTACATCCAGGAGGGAAGGTCTGCTTCTGATAGACAGGAGCCAAACAGAGGGACAAAGCATGATGTCCTGATTGAGGTGAAAGGCCGAAACTATCCAGGTCTCTAGTACAGTTTCTAGTACCCTCCCTATTTTTGTATCGTCTGCAAACACGGAAACATGGCTATTTATTCCCTCCCCGATGTCATTAATAAATAGGTTGAACAGTATCGGACCCAGCACAGATCCTTGAGGCACACCGCTCATTACACTAGCCCAGTCCGAAAAGGTGCCATTTACAGATACTCTCTGGACACGTTCCCGTAGCCAGTTCTCTATCCACGTACACACCACCTCATCTATGCCCATAGCCCTCAGCTTGTGAAGTAAGCGCTTGTGTGGTACCGTATCAAATGTCTTTGAGAAATCCAGGTATACCACATCTACCGGCTTCCCTCCATCCATATCTCTGCTTACCCCCTCATAAAAAGTTAGCAAGTTAGTCAGGCAGGAACGGTCTTTCCTGAACCCATGCTGATTGTCATTAACTATGCCCTTATCCTTAACAAATTTTACCAAATAGTCCTTAATTATACCTTCTAACAGTTTACAAACTACCGATGTTAGACTGACCGGCCTATAGTTCCCTGGTTGGCATCTTGCCCCCTTTTTGAATATTGGAACTACCGTAGCCCTCCGCCAATCACATGGTGCCCTACCAGTCACTAAGGATTCCTTAAAAATTAGGAATAATGGTCTTGTTATAACCTGGCTTAGTTCCCTAAGTACCTTGGGGTGCAGGTTATCCGGACCCACTGCTTTATTTGCATTGAGCATTTTAAGTCTATGTTCTATTCCGCTTTCCGTCAACCATTGTGGTATATTATCGATTGAACTATGTGTTTTACCACGTACGTCGAACCCGTTTCCCTCCCGAGTGTATATTGAGGAGAAAAAAGCGTTCAGCGCCTCGGCCCTCTCCTTGTCGTTTGTGAGTAACTTCCCGTTTTCGCCCTTTATTGGGCCTATCTGCTCCTTTCTCACCTTTTTACTGTTAATATATTGGTAGAATTTTTTAGGTTTTTTTTTTTTTTACTATCTGCGGTGATATGCTTTTCGCACTCAGTTTTAGCTGCCCGGATTTCTAGTTTGCATTTTTTGTTACATTCCTTGTATTTAAGAAACGCCAATGCCGTCCCTTCCGTCTTATATTTTATAAATGCCATTCTCTTTGCCTTAACATGTAGTTTTACAGTTTTATTTAGCCATATCGGGAGGATTGGTGATAAAGCTTTAGTGGAGACACCTTTTTTCCAAGATCACGCTGACAGAAGTGAATTTCCCTTTCTAGGGGCAGATTTCCTCCTACTTCCTGTTCTCTGAAGGACAGGAAGCGAGATTAAATCTTTCTAATGAGGATACAGACAGCAGTAAAAACCTCACAGTGACCAGGAAGAACAGGTGAGCACCCCTCGTCTGCACGTCTAACAAGAGCCAACTTCCTGTAATGTACGTATAGTACTACAAATCAGACCCAAAAAGGTAGGCACTCCTCATCGGCCCGAGGGCGATAGCATTACAACTACCCCTGCTGTACAGTAATAGCCTCCGTTTGTAACTCAGGGACTGACTCTACACTGACATGTATCTCTTTATGACAGTAGAGGCTCTGTATGTCTCTTGTACCATACATTCTTCTCCTTACCCGTCTGCGGTTTCTTCCTGACTGTACATTGAGTTGAGAAATCCATGCCAGGACGTGGTAACTCCTGTGTGCATGTGCGGGAATGATGTCATGTTGGACAAAGACTCTGAACCCGAGGAAGATTGGGTGAAGATGGAAGTGATGACTATGGAGGGGTGTGGGGGGCAGCAGACATCATGTCACTGGAATGTGGCATAATGTGTTATTATTCTGTGCATACCTGTACATTATGGAAAACACTCCTGGGGCCCCAAATTTGACTTATAAATTTACCTAATAAATAATGATCCCACTGTGCTGCCCTCAATGTACTATGACATCAGTGTCTGTACTCGGACATATACAGAACGCCCAGTGTATGGGCAGCTTTAGGGCCCAGTCACACCATAAAGAGTGCGTTCCAGAGCGTTCGGCCTCTGGAACGCAACCCGGCCGGCTCACTTTGTTTTTGGGCGGCGCATTTAAGTCAATGGCACCGCAACCCTGCTTCCAGTGCGATCGCCGGAACCCGAACGCGTGGTACATTAGTGCCTGCGTTCTGGTCCAGTGCGATCTGCAAAAAATGCTGTATGCACTACTTTTTGCAGATCGCACTGGACCAGAACGCAGGCACTAATGTACCACGCATTCGAGTGCCAGCAATTGCACTGCGGGTTGTGGGCGTGGCTGCAGTGCCATTGACTTCAATGCACTGCCACACTCCCTCCCGCCCCAAAACAAAGTGAGCCGGCCAGGTTGTGTTCCAGAGGCCGAACGCTCTGGAACGCACTCTTTACGGTGTGACTGGGCCCTTACTCTCTGGGTTCATGAGGATTCTTGTGCCAAGAACCTGCAGGCAGATGCGGTCATCTGTCCGCATGTGATCGTACTTGGATGTGTCTGCTGTCAGCCTGACATTCACTGGCCACATGTGAACGGACACTCCTGGGATTCCTACCAGAAGAATCTGCAAGTTCCTGGGACAGGATTCCCCAGCCGCACACAATAACCCGGGGTACATGTAGCATTAAGGTGCCCATACACTGCTCGATTCTCGTACGAGAATCGCGGGAAATCCCGCGATCGTACGAGAATCGAGCAGTGTGAACGGAGACGTGCGACCGTTTCTACTGTACGGTCGCACGTCTTCCGTCGAACCAGCATGTTCGAAAACTAGCCGGGAATCGTACGATTCTCGGTTGGTTAGAACGGGCCGGTGTGCACACGCGCACACTGCCCGTTCAGCATTGCGGTCATCGGAAGCCCGCCCCTCAGGGGGGAGGGCTTGCGATGATCGAGAGTGCGATCTGCCTGTCCAAGATAGGCAGATCGTACGTTTTTTAAATCCCTTTACAACCATCGCAAGACTAAGGTCTTGCGATGGTTGTACAGTGTATGGCCACCTTTAGACATCAATAATACAGGTGCTGTTACTTATAGCAACCAAATGAATAGTTCAGAGACCATCAAGTCCTTTCTTTCCACACAGCAGCCCATTGCATTCCCCAGAGTGTCCCTGCCCCAGGCTCACACAGTATATAGAGTATACACCTCTGCCGCTGTCATGACTTCGTGCACTCTGCAGATGTTAGAGGAGGAAAACCAGAGACAGACACACACAATGTACCCAGCACAGTACCTGAGGCCGCACAGTGTGCATGGAGGAGGTGCATGAAGACGGAGCTCCCCATCTGTACAGAGGCCATGTTTGTATGATCACAGTGCTGGAGAAGCGCAGAGCGGGGGCCACACATGAAACAACCGCTGAGGGGCCCCGGCCATAACTTGCAATGTCTGTATGAACACTAGTACACACTTCAACTTCCCGCTACCTGAAGAGCCGCCCCCACACCAGCAACAGCCAATCAGAGAGCTTCTCCCATACCGAGCCGGCCTCGATGCCGATGGAACAAGTCCTGTGATTGGCTGTGGCGTTCTTCTGGACTACACTGCCCGATGAAAGTTAGGGTGAACTGCGGCGAGGAGTGTTTAGCGGTCGGAGGATTACTCAGTCCACGGCGGTCGGCTTTCCTTTTCTGACCCCATGTTATCCCCTCATGTAGGACGGATGTATAGATCTCTATAAATAAACTAGCAGATATGATAAGCCTTCTCTATATAGAAGGACAGCCTGGAAATGTATGACACATAATCTGTATGTGAAGAAAAACTACCAATGTGCCCCATAGCAAGTGTACACAATGTTTAAAGGGGAACTGCAGCTGAAATCAAATAAATCAGCAGCTACAAGATCTGCCCAAGGGGTCCTGCGTGGTCCTCGCCCCCACATTCTTTGCAGCGTCTCTTATACATGCCGCCATCTTGAAGTCAGCAGACGCCTGTCCAATTCTGATCACTCAGCCGGCCCCTGCGGAAGCGCTGCTGCACATGTGCAAGACCAGCAGACTGCATGTAGACTGTCCTGACACCTCCCCTCCCAGGACGCTGCGGGTGTCAGGGGTTTCCTCATCCCTGCCTAGGTAAGGGAGTGAGCACCACCAAATAAAAAGATACTCAGCCAGACACCCCACCCTGCAAAGAATGGCCAGGGAGAGGACGCCAATGATGCCGAGCTTTATTTTCAGGTGATGGTCTGTTATAAAGAAGAACTTTGGGGACAAGTTTTATTACCCCTCGCAGTGGGTCTATCCTGCACTGTAAGGACCCATTCACACCAATTGCAGTGTGTTCCAGAGCGGCAGCTGCTGGAATGCACAGCGATCGCTCACTAAACTTCCCCACGCGTTCTGGGGCGGGAGGGGGCATGGCAGTGCATTGAAGTCAATGGCACCGCAGCCACGCCCCCTGCCTGCAGTGCGATTGGACGCGTGGCAAAACATAGAGCATGCAGCATTTTTTCTGATCTCACTGGACCGAAACACAGACATAAAAAGGCTCCAACAGCCATTGATCCACGAGAAAGCTAAACGCGTTTCACACTAGAAGTGCTGATTCATAAGCTCTACGTGTTAGATTGTCCGTGTGTAGTTTAGGGTCACCACACACGTTACAAGCTGACTATACAATTATTGTACAATCAATTTTAGATTTACCAAAACAATGTAATACGAGGACCTCCCGAATCCATCCAATCAGGCCGGTCCTTGTACTACATAGAACAAAGAGATTGTACAATCAGATTGTATAGTGTGTGCTGAGCTTCAGGGAGACCACAGACAGACAGATGTCACCATGGAATTTATCACTGTCATACGACTGATGAGATGGCGCAGGCAGTTCAAGGGTTAAGTCACCTTTATAATAAACTGTGCAGTGCCGTCCAGGGGCCCCATTCGTTTACAAATCACAGAACTGTTTAGAGAAATTGAGTTTCGTTTAAATCCAGGAGCATCCACCATTCTCACTGGGCAGCCTGCTGGGCACCACACTGCTCCTTCTTCAATAGTCTCCCTGCATCAACAATCGAGGTTCATTGCACTCCCACTGACACCAACAATCGGGGTTCATTGCACTCCCACTGACACCAACAATCGGGGTTCATTGCACTCCCACTGACACCAACAATCGGGGTTCATTTCAATGAGATATAGATGGCAAACAACCCTAAACACCTGACATCGCTTTTAACCTTCTTTATTCAAGATGAAGAGAAACAGTTTAGATTTTGAATGAAATGTGACAATTGTGTACAATGTGACTGACAAGTAAGGATGGGCTGCCTGTTCGAGTCGACAATAGGTTCGACTCGAACATTGCATGTTCTAGCGTTCGCCGAACATTATGGGATGTCCGCGGAGGCTGCGCTATTGTGTGCTGTGCTTTGATCGCTGACATGACGAAAGCTCTCCACACACATTACAATCTGATTGTACAACTCATTTAGCAAAATCTATGTAGTGTAAGAGCCCGCATGATTAGATACAGAACGGCAGACATTGGGTAGGTCCTATTACAGAGTTTGGGTCAATCTAAAAATGATTGCACAGAGTAGGTCTGCAACAACTAATCGATTATAATTGATAATGAAAATCGTTGTCAATCGATTAGTTGAATGTTTCTCCCCGTGCTGGCGCTGCCTCTCCATTGTTCCCCGTGCTGCCTCTCTGTTGCTCCCCGTGCTGGCGCTGCCTCTCCCTTGTTCCCCCGTGCTGCCTCTCTGTTGCTCCCCGTGCTGGTGCTGCCTCTCCCTCGTTCCCCCGTGCTGCCTTTCTGTTGTTCCCCGTGCTGGCGCTGCCTCTCTGTTGTTCCCCGTGCTCACGCTGCCTCTCCGTTGCTCCCCGTGCTGGCGCTGCCTCTCCGTTGCTCCCCATGCTCGCTTTGCCTCTCTGTTGCTCCAGTGCTCACGCTGCCTCTCCCTTGTTCCCCGTGCTGGCGCTGCCTTTCCGTTGCTGACCGTGTACGTGCTGCCTCTCTACTGTTCCCTGTGCTTGCGCTGCCTCTCCCTTGTTCCCCGTACTCACGCTGCCTGTCGCTCCCCGTACTCACGCTGCCTCTCCCTTGTTCCCCGTGCTGCCTCTCTGTTGCTCCCCGTGCTGCCGCTGCCTCTCCCTTGTTCCCCGTGCTGCCTCTCTGTTGCTCCCCGTGCTGCCGCTGCCTCTCCCTTGTTCCCCGTGCTGCCTTTCTGTTGCTCCCCGTGCTGGTGCTGCCTCTCTGTTGCTCCCCGTGCTGGTGCTGCCTCTCTGTTGCTCCCCGTGATGGTGCTGCCTCTCTGTTGCTCCCCGTGCTGGTGCTGCCTCTCCGTTGCTCCCCATGCTGCCTCTCTGTTGCTCCCCGTGCTAGCGCTGCCTGTCTGTTGCCATCCAGCAGCTAGGAGAAATAGCCAGCCTCCTATTGGCTATTTTGAATTGCAATAGCAGGCTGTATATTGCACCCACCCACAGTCTGCTGTCAATTAGCAGAGGAGGACCTAAACGAGAACTTTCTCCTTTGGTTCCTCCTCTGCTGATTGACAGCAGGCAGTTGGCAGTGTAATTGCCAGCCTGCTATTGCAATTTGAAATATCCAATACCAGGCTGGCTATTGCTCCCAGCCACTGCCGGCTGTGTTTACATTCAGCTACCTCAGCAGGCAGCTGTCATTCCCAAGTGAGGTGGAAAAGTGACACAAGGGGGTCTAATGTCACCTTAAAGAGAACCTGTCACTGCCAATGTGCTATCACATAGGGGCTTGTAAAAAAAAAAAAAGAAGTAAAAAAAAAGTTAAATAAAATTCAATAAGAAAATATAAAAAATAAAAATAAAAGTCCCCTGTGTATGTGTGCACACTAATGGAAACACAAGTTGGGTTCACCTACATATGAAAGCGCCAATTTTGGTGTGTTATTTTAAATAAAAGGTTGGTTATTATTGGTTTGGAGTTTTTCAATTCACATTATTTTAAATCCATGAAACTAATTCAAATGTCTCATATAATCCATACAATTTTTTTTTTTAAATGTAAAAAGTTGGGAAACAAGTCATTTCACATTCCGCCCTGACACACTCTGCTGCCGAATGTGCCATTCATTTCAATGGCACCCCAAACACGCTTCCCGCCCGCAGTGTGATCGCCCGCACTGGAACGCACGGTACTGCAATGGCGTGCATTCCAGTGCGGTGCGATTACAAAAAATTATGCATGCCGTTTTATTCTGAAATAAACTTTGTAACACTCCACTTGTGTATTTTAAATAAAAGATGTTTTTTTTTTATCCGATTAGTTGATTAATCAAGAAAATAATCGGCCAACGAATAGATTATGAAAATGATCGCTAGTACAGAGATTGCAATGATCACATTGTAACGTGTATGGTGACTCTAAGAGCACCCGTGAGCTTGCTTTCATTGTCTGTGTGTTACAATGGAGGTGATTGATGACATACAACAATAATCATTGTGTGCTCCCAACCACGGGCTCACAACACACGGTACAATCTCTCCATAGAATCTCTGGACAATCAACTTTACATTTACAAAAACTCTGTAATACGAGGACCTCCCTGATCTATGCAATCAGACGGGGCCCTGCACTACAGACTTGTTGGTAGATGTACAATCAGATTGCAGCATGTATGGTGAGTCCTGGAGGTTGTCTCCACTGGCTGCACATTTTTTGCACAATGGCAATAATGCAAATTTGTGGCCCAGTACACACGCAGCGCATAACGGACAACACGTTGCATTCAAGACCACCCACACGGGGCCACCTTTAGGGCCCATTCACATGGATGGTTATTATATTCTGTTTCTGTGCACTACATTTTATTTTAGTGTATTTTATCCCACAAATACCTGTTTGATAAACATTTGTGCAAATACCGTGTGACATAAAAAATTGCAACCAGCATCTTTTAATTCTCCAGGACCTCCGCTTTCAGGAAATATATCATTGTTTGGGGGTCTGACGCAGCTTTCTAGCCAGAAATTCCGCTTTTATTATGTGTGCGCCAATAGTAAGAACATGCTCCGGTCAGGAAGGGGTTAATGAGCTCCGCGGCTGATTGTGGATGAGTGTCAGCTGTTCCGCACATTGATAAATAGCGATGTGTCCCCTCCCCCCCCCCATCACATACAGGGCAGCCATGGCCGGCTTCATGTACTCGCCATACAGCGCCTACCAGCACTTCGGGCACACCGGCCCCGCTCCGCAGCCCCCCGCCCGGAACAAGCAGCCCACCTGGAAGTCCGGCAAGAGTTCCGAGCCCTCCGACTACCTGGACAACCTGCAGAGGGCCCAACTGAAGGCCATTCTGTCCCAAGTCAACCCCAACCTCACCCCCCGTCTGCGGAGGGCCAACACCAAGGAGGTGGGGGTGCAGGTGAACCCGCGGGTGGAAGTTGGGGTACAGTGCTCTCTGGGGCCCCGCACCCTCCGT